GAGCTCGCTATCGACTTCAGATGATGCGTTTGAGTCGAGCTCTAAAAGAAAAGCGGCCACTATACGGGCAGAGACACGACAAAGTCATTTTGTTACATGACAATGCTCGGCCACATGTGGCAAAACCAGTCAAAACTTACCTGGAAACGCTTCAATGGGAAGTTCTACCTCACCCGCCGTATTCACCGGACATAGCCCCCTCGGATTACCACTTGTTTTGGTCGATGGCGCATGGTTTGAGCGAGCAGCGCTTCCATTCTTTCGAAGAAACCGAAAAATGGGTCGATTCATGGATTGCGTCAAAAGATGAATCGTTTTTTCGACGGGGGATTCAATTACTGCCAGAAAGATGGGAGAAAGTGGTCTCTAATGATGGACAATACTTTGAGTAAAGTTATTGTAAGCCTTATATTTTAAATTAATGTTTTTTTTAACAAAAAAAACAGCGAGAACTTATTCAAGGTCCTAATATTATACAGATGGTATAAAAACAAGTTAGAATATCGTTGGAATAAGTGCATTGAGTTGAAAGGGGACTATGTTGAAAAATATAAAAAAATTTTGTCGAAAATTATGTGTTTTCTGTGTGAGACCGAGAATTTTTCAAACTGCCCTGGTATCTACAAGAGATTGCGAACAAAATCGAGTATAAGGATTTTTCATTTATTTTATATGTGAAATACATGTAACAGTAGAAAAATATTTCAAATAACATGCTCTGCGTTCGGAAGGAAAATAAGCTCCAATTCTCTATTGTTATTGCAAATGCATAAATTGTCACGCGAGTTTTGACACGTCCGTTCGACGTCAAAAACCAACCAACCAACATCGGGAATCCTTCGAGTGCGAACACGTACGTGAAACAATGCGATATGATTAATTTGACGCGCAGTCTCCTGTTTCTTTATTTATGAGTGCGGCGGAACGCATCATACATCATTCTGTCGCATTCATAAAGAAATAGAAGACTTCCATCATTCCGTCAGCTGTTGGATGGCTGTTCATAGCGACAAAACTCTGATAATAAAAGGCATTACTGCGATTGCGATAATCAAATTTCTTTAAGCTGCTTTCATCAATTTTTCTTTAAGAAATTTTTGATCTTGGCTTTTTGTAATTACACGAGTCCAAAAATCTATGTCCATAATTGCTGTGTTTTCGCATAATCCCGGTGTGATAAAGTTGCTTCAGTCAGATCAGAGTAATCCACCCACTGGATTGGGGCTGCTCATTGATATTCTGCGAAATCATTTCTCAGAATATTAATGAGTTCTCCCGTTTCAGATACATATAAAGCTATATATAAATCTTTCGTCGTTGTAGAAATCGTGGGATTATCGTTCTGCATAATGCAGAATTTATACAAAGTACGATATATAAAAATTATACACTCCGCAAAAAAATTAGGGGATCACTTTTTTCCGCAAAATAAAGGCCATTTTCAACTGGCTATAACTTTGTTGAAAACGATCCAATTTTGATGGTAAAAAAGCGTCTTAAAGGCTGAAGTTTCAACTTTCAGAATCTTCTTGCAGATTTAAAAAATTGTTATTGGTTTCAAAGTTGTGATATTAAAAAGCGGCTTCCAACAAATTGCAAAATTTTTCTTCAAATTTGGCAAGGCACACGAGGGGATAGCAAATCGGATCAAAATTTTGTTCATTGCGTTGTAAAGCGTAGACTTTCCAAAAAAAGTGATCCTCTAATTTTTTGCGGAGTGTATAATTGTAATAAAAAATCTGATTGTAAAACTTTGACTTTGTCGGGGAAAACTTTGACTCCGCGGACACTAATTCTTATTTGGAAAAAGCTCTTTTAAAAATATCTAAATTTAAAATGTATTTAAAAATATAGTGGGTGTGTATATTACACTAATTGTAAGTTTTATAAAGTCGGACAAATTATATATACATATGCGTGTGGATGAGAACAGTAAATATATTATTGAACATTTTTTGACAATTTTTTAAATTTGAAAATACTACGAGATTAATATTTAATCGTCTATTTTTTTATTTTTTAGTAAGAAACTTGACTTAACGTCGTCGTATTTATTTAGAGAAAAGAATATAAAGTCACAATTTGTTATTTCAAAAGGCTCTACAAATAGATATACATATTTTGCAGGATCCATAATTTTTAGCCGAGCCATTTTCAGAGTCAATAGCGATGGAAATCTTATATTGTTGATAGAAATAGTCGAAGTAAAATCGTGGTATATATATAAATATATATAATATTCTTAAATTAATAATAGTTCTCGTGTTCTCTGTATTTGTACACATTCTAAGCAGGTGCCGATGATAAGAAAAGATAGTTCTGATCGGGATTACGTATATACCCATACAGCACAGAACATTGCAATTACATTGCAGCAATGTTACAATCTTGCAAATTGCAATGTAATATTGTTGAGACATTATTGCAACCTGTAATTGTAATATTTCATGAGAATGTGACAGCAACATTCCAATAACATTGCAATAGCAATATTCGGTAATCGCCAGTTTGTTCGTTTACCGCTATGCGACGCGCGTTGCAAAATCTATCTCGTATTTAAGTTTTAGTCATGATAATTATATGAAACTTGCAAAGAGTGGCTAGTAAGATTAAAGACATAGTAATTATTTTTATCAGCTTAATTTTTCTGATACGACCTCAACACTGGGAATTCAGATATTGAACTGATTGTTCAAAAATCGGACAGATAAATGTCCGAATAAATAAAAATATATGCAATATTACTGTAATATTTCGTTACAATCTTCCTAAAAGCGGACATTTTAACGTTGCTGCAATCCCACAGCAATGATGCAACAACATTTGCAGTGAATTTGCAATATTGCAACATTGCGATGAAAGATTGATGCAATGTGTATGCAATCTTTGTGTGCTGTATGGGTAATCTCCGTGCGAATACAAATGTAATAATAACGCAAAGATTATTTACTCATACCGCTATTCAGCCTAGCTGTAGTGATAATTGCTCATACTTAACAATTATCGTAGAGAATTTACTGGTTGCCATTGGCTTTATAAAATGTGCGATGTATTTATGTCGTCATATTTAGGACATAATTAGGATATTTCACATAACATCATCTGCCCGTCCAATCCGTTTTAAACATACACGAACTTTCACAATTCTCATCTGTATCACTCTAATGTGATTTTTAATTCAACTGTTACTGGTGCGATTAATTTAGTTGTGCAAAATTGAATGATTTGTATTCCGATATCTATTTTATCCCTGACATCCAATGTAATTATATATAATTTTGTTGACGCATTTTTGGCTTCTATTTAGAATTTAGAAGTGATCACAATGTTGTGCCGCAGGGTGATTTGAACAATGTGTGAATCGTTAATCGCAAATATTATATGTTAGCCAGGAACAATCGAGTATTACAACACGAACTAAGCACGGAATGTGGTATTATATCATACAAATCAGTAGATATAGAAATTGTACATATATTTCTATTTAATTATTAGAAGGTATTGTATCTACAATTATGTAGCAGAATTGATAAAAATTCACAGGAGTTAAGTGGAATGTTAGTCTATGAAATTTTATTATCTTAAGCACACAGCGTGATATTTTACGAATTATAGTAGAAAAAAATTGGCAAATTAAATGAAAAGAATTCCACGTGCCTATATATAATTTCAGTCGAACAAAGATCGTCTTATTGCAAATATATTCTAAAATATTCGAAAAGTGTTATTGAAATATCTATAATAGAAAGAGTAGTAACTTAATATTTTAGAAGGCAGATATCTTCTGTGTATATTTCTAATATTATTAGTCGATAGACGTGAGAGATATATTCATACAAAATTTATATATGAAGAGTTACTCACGAATTCCAGATTAAAATATATTGTACGGATAACATAGTTTTTAAGCGCATAGAGCATACACAGTTCCTCATGTTATACATTGATCAATTAATTCATGGTATCTATAAAGAACGAAATAGCGCGGTCATATATGTTAATTCAATTTAAACACTGCACGAATAAATTCAATAGCGAGATATTTTTATAATAAATTAAAAGTTGACTAGATTGAGCTATATATACAAAAATTGACAATAACATCAAACTTTCCTTCTATCATTACTCCATTGCTTATGCAAACGCAGTTCTCTGTGTCGTACAGATGGTAAAATAATGTATTTTTAACATGCGATGATGCTATAATTAAAATTAAAGAAAATATTTTATATCTACGTCTTAATATCACTTTTTTTATTATTAAGTTCCTTTACTCGGAATCATTTGCTTCGTTGAATAAAACAATTCCATTATGCTTTTATATTGTTAATACATATGTACATATATTATCAATATTATTGTATATATGTGTACAACGATTATTATTTAATAAAATAAATAAATTTTAAGATATTTCGTATATATTCCGCGCATTTTCGGAAATAATTCATAATAAAAATAAATAATTAATTTCGAGATGTTTCGCCGTTATATTGTTTAGGAAATCTTTTTATTAATCTTTTAATTTCTATCATTAAATTTTCAAAGTTATGAAAGAAAACATTGGCCATATTTGATGAAAATTACACCATTTATTATATCGTTTTCTGTTTTGCACATTTAATTGATACAAGTCATAAAATGTTTACATGATTTGCATATTATTGAATTAGATGTCCATTTCGCAAATATACAACTATCAATAAAATTATTAATGACATATATCTAATTATGAATGAAGAGCACAATTAGATATAAATAAATTATTATATAACTATTTATCTATAATTGTAATTATAGATAAATAAATTATGTTGCTCTTCTTCAATAATTCTGTAATAATTAAATGTGTCTTATTTAGTAATGTAAATTTTCAAATAAATCATTTAAAGTATAATGCATGTTGTAGTACTTAATTCATTTAAAAATGGAAGCATATTTTCTGCCAGATTATTTAACATGCGAATTGTTATATTGCAAGAATTATTAAGTTTAGTTCAATTAGTTACGTAAACTTATAATGATTGAAAGCACATAATGATTGTTACTTATTTTATTATTGTTGAAAACGAAACCAGTACAAAAGGAACACAATCAGGTTATGATATAGGTATTTTGTATAATGCTTGAGACGCGTTTTTCAACGTGCGTTATAATAATTTCACTATACCTATATCTCTCGCTATAATAACTGTTGGTGCTGGAACACAAGTGATGAAATAATATTCGATAGATATATAAGAAAAGAAGATTACCGAATAATAATGAATGTAGATGTGCAAACGTAAAACTATCACTCAACAGTCAATCAACCAATTAATTGACTCCACATTAAAATCGCTGCATTTTCATGTATTTTTAACAATCACATAAATAGTACGTTACAAATTATTAAAAATATATAGATTCTTCTCTCTTGTGTACAAGTCACCATTTAATTTTCTCTTTTTATTACTAAGTTTTTAGCACTCAATTTTCCATGCTGATTAAGTATCTTATGACGGCTCTAATATGTTTATGAGATTTTCTTATCTAAGTTTATCGATCGAAAAAATAGTGGTAAAATTGTGTACTTACGTTGACCTATCGTAATTTAATTTTTTGCGTATTTTGTTAATGTAAACTATGGATAAATAGTGCAAAGCTGATTTTTTTATTTAGTGCATAGTTTATTTAGTTGTATCAAATAAGTGTGTGTCTATGAGCCAATGCGAAGTCGTGCCGTAATACATGGAATTATGTAAGGAAGTAACTTATGTATCCTTTGTTTGGCCATTTGTTTCATATTTAAAGCAATAGTTATTCTATATTTCTCCTATATACTTGATATTAATAAAACAGACTGATCTCTCACAATTCGTAGCCAGAACATCTGTGATACATGTGTTGTAATTAAGATTTTAAAATACAACTAAGTTATAAATAGAAATGTAACGCTTTGTTTCATCCACACGTGGATGCCGTACAATTGCCGTGACAAGTATGATCCACGATGTCAAAAGTTGATATCAAATGCCAAACTACATAAAAACTCTCTCATGTACTCAATGGGCCCCGGAAGTAAAATATTTTCCCCGTGTATATAAGGCTTACAAATCACGCATGGTAAAATGAAACGTCTATTCAAAAGGACACTGCGTGACTGCGAAAAATTTGCTAAGAGTTGTTGGAATGTAGAGGAATTACGAATTTAGGTCCGAATGGCGATTTGTACGTAATGCCGGCGTCGTTGTACACCTTGTCCGGTAACGCGAGATTGCACAGGTACAATCTCCCATTGTCGACGGAGTGTGACAGCGGCAAGGCCCCCAGTAGACTGAATTTGCAGAGGATACCCGGTGTACCCGATGCCGGGGGTTCGATAGCGAGCACAGGCGCGCGATTGCTGTTTGCCCATCTAGCTATCGGTGTGATCATTCGTGGTGAACCCTCGTCGCAGAGCGCCACGAGTATCAAATCCACCACTGACGGCAAATTCTTCACTTTAGTTTCAACTTTGTTCTCCGTTAGTCTGTACAGTGACAGTTCCTGCAAAAGGAACACGTCCTCCGCGTTTTCCAGGAACACGATCGTCTTGACGCCATGACTAGACAACTGTCGAGCGCAATTGATACCCGCGGCACCGGAACGGTGAGGTCCGCATAACACGACCACGGTGGGCCACTGATGAGCGTTATTTGGGTTCAGTCGATGACTTCCGCCCAATAGTTGTAAGGTAAGTTCAGCACCGGCGCGGCCAAGAAGCTCCACCTTTTGCAGAAAATAAAAATATTTAATTATAGCAACATAAATACGCACGTAATTATGTGAATGCGATATCAGTCACATTTTGAAATTTCGAATTCCAATTTTTTTACTAAAGTAAATATGTTTTTAATCAATTTACATTTATATTTACTCGAATGCATTGAGCGTTAAAAGTAAATTTGCATTATTTGTGCATAAGATCTCTGTTTTTTTCTAATGTTAATTATACGGGAATTAATAATTACAAATATAGATACGGACCCTGCGTTCCCAAGTTATTCCCAACCGATCTGCTGCACCTATTAATTGCCGATGGAGACCGAGAGTGATGCTAGGAATTACTAAACCATTATCTGTAACGTATTCTTTTTCGCCAGGACAGGGCACCACAATCTGTCTGAGTACTGTAGGTTCGGATACGAGAATGTTCTCGTCAGGTCGGTAGATAGCGGTAGTACCCCGATTATTTTCCGACTGCCTAACAATATCCGGTTTCAAGGAATTTATTTCTTGCCATACAGCCTGAAAAATAAATCATAAAATAATAGTACAATGAAATAATGATGCGAATAAATTACTTCTTAAATTATTAAAGCTCACCTCTTTGTTAAACAATGCTAAGTTTTTCTCAAAATCGAAATCTTGTTGTAAAGACTGATCAATCGGAGTGCCAAAAGTGTGCTCATCCCTTTCTCTTTGCTCTATAAGTGTTCTTTGTCTGTGTGTTAATCTTTTTGGGATGCATTTATTGTTAGATGCATTATTTTCGGCTGCAACAAGTTTTTATATTAAAACATGCACTAGCGAATATTTGTAAATTATTATTACAGTGCATACCTGGTGCAAATTTTCCATTTGGAGTTTGCTCAACTTGCTGTTGGTTTGATTCCGCAGGTTTTTTGAAATTTGATTGTGCTTGAGAACTTCCCACTTGCACTACTGGTGGGACGCATTCTGAAACAGATCGCCCAGCCCTTTTCGCAATTGGCCTCTTTACTATTACTTTACTCTGTGGTTGGACATCGTTCACATTAGTTCCTGCTTCCTCTGTTGATATAATCTCAAGATTCTGTATGTCTTTTACACTGTAATAATGAAAATAATTACATTTAACACACATGTTGATTAATTGTTTGAGTGCTCAAGAAGCAGCTTGACACTTTTTGCACACATTCTTACAACTGCTTTTGGCACTCAACAATGACAACACAAAAAGATTATCATTATTGCTTTGTTATCATAAACATAAATTAACACAGATGTTTATATACCTCAGGTTAACAACCGAAGAAGTATGTGGTATACCGTTGCAAAATGTTTTTGCCAATGTCAGGCTATTTTTATTTAGATCAATAATTTTGCCTTGGTAAGCAACATCGTCAATACATTTTACAGAAACTGTACAACCGAGAAACTGCTCAGACATTTCGTCTGTAATTAAAATATCAAAATTAAGATGTAAATTTCTATACTATTACAGAAAACAATTCAACAATATCCTTAAATCAAAAAATATATGTAAGCAATTTGTTAATAAAGAAATATAAAGTTTAATATTGAGCATATCAAAGAAATGATAATGATGCACATTGCTTAAAACTATTGAATTTACTTTCTGACAATTTGTAGACTAATGCAATTATATATTAGTTACAATAATAATACAAATTATGATGGCTAATAAAAAGCGCTAAAGTACTGTAAATGTGTATAAAAAAGATTATTTCCACTAGACATCCGAAAGCAACATAAATTATAAGTGATGTGTACGCAAAGATTTTTAATATAATTAAAAGCTTGATGTGGCTTTATAGGTTAGAAATACACAACAAGTGTATTGTTGCAATATTTATAAGAAGAAAGTTTATATACCTGATATGAGATGGAGTCAAAAATAAAGATAATTAAACAAAGAGAAAATAAATCACACCACTTATGTAATCACAATTACCGTATTTTAATATACGCGCAATAATATATTCCGGTAAGAGAAATAAGACAGAGAAGCAGCGCTGGCGCTTCTATATGATTACAGTGGGATTCCGGCTTTTCACGGGGGCTCGAAATGGTCGGTATTGGGCGAGCTGTTATTAGGATCACAGGAGACGCGAAGAGGCTGTCAAACAAAAAAATGCACTTATCATCGGTGCATTTATCATCAATGCATTTATCATCAGTGCACTTATCATCGGTGCATTTACCATCAGTGCACGTATCATCGGTGCATTTATCATCAGTGCACTTACCATCGGAGTACTTGGTTTGACAGTTCACTAAAAGAGGGCGCTGTTTCCAGTCATCAAGCTCTTGTATCATCCTGGGTTCCTGTTAACTTGGTCTCCAAATCCCGGCTAAAATTGACCGATTTGGGCCGTTCCCTGGGTAACTGCACGCTTTCTACACGTTTATTTTCGCTTCTAAATCACTTTTGACAGTGCTAGGATGATGATAAAATTCTTAAACAACTTACACGTTTTTTAAAAGTATTTTTAAGCTACTTTTTGTAAAATTTAAAATGCCTATTGTAAATAATTTATTAATTAAATATTAAAAGTCAGATTTCTAGCTTCGATAAAGTGATTATTACATTTTTAATTCATTGATTTTAACGGTATCAAAATACTTATAAAATAAGTATACAAATTAAAAATTTTTAATTAAAAATATGCAAGAATATTATAAATATGGGACAAAACTTTTAAGTAATAAATAATTACTCACCTATTAGTCGCTGTAGCAATGCCGCTTGATCGAATGAAATATACATTGGGAAAACTTAGAATGAGAACTTAATTTTTCAAGAGTATACTAATGATTTGTTGCAATAAAGTACGCAGTATATATTGGTGTACTGTGTTTATTATCGATTTGCAAGTATAATCTTATGAATTAATATATCTTTCATTATTCTTGATTGTACATGTTACACTGATTAAGGCAACGGTAGAAGCTATATTTATATGCACATCAGGTGTGTTGCGTATTGGTATAATATCTTGTAAGCATTCTGATTGATAATTTCTCTTATATATGTATATTGCCGACACGGTTTAAAATAATTTTTTATATGTACATATATATATTTATATCTATAAAATAAAATTGCGCAATTAATTTAAAATGATGCTGTTCGGTATGTGACATATAAGGATATATTACACATTTTTACAGTGTTGAGTCTAATTAATTTGTGTTAATTAATTTTGCTGATTTCTATTAAAAATAATGAACATTTTGGAGAACCCGTAATAATAAATAATCAACGCGTGTTGATAATAGAAATTAAATTTTTTTACATCCAATCAATTGCATTTCACATATTAGTTATTTTATATTTCGCTCATAAATAAATCTTATAAATTGTAAAATTGTGCTGATAAGAAAATTTTTAAAGAACCACGATACACTCGATGTGACGAAATAAATACAGAGCAACATTCTGCTTTACTATTGTCGCTACGAAGCATCTGCGATTTTTGTAAACATAATTTAAAAAAATTTGTTCGAAAAATACTATTCTTAACAATATAATAAAGAAAAGATAATTCAATTTTGCGGTAACATTTTCAAAATACATAAGTAAAAATTTTCACAATTAATATTTAATTATTATTCAAAATATAAAATAAAATACATCAGTTTTAAGAAATGAAAGTTATACCTATATGTGTTAGTTTTGTTACGCATAATGTCCTGAAAATTTTACAGAAAAAATAATTCTCCCACATTATAGTGCTGTAATGTCACGATAACTATGTCAAGCACACCGTTTCTAAAATGGGCAGTTTTTGTGTACGATTACGATCATTTGTAAAAGTACTATGTGTAACATTTTAATTATAAATCAATATAACAACATAGCAGCGCTAAAAGCTAGCAAACTATTGTGGAAAACGTTTATAGAACGTCATTCTCTCGCATACTCGCGCTTCAATCATTCGTTACACGCGCGTCGCAACCATATACACATTCAAAACATAAATGTAAATAAAAAAAGAAAAAGATTCGCTCTTTCGTTGGAAGCAAACATGCGGGAACGTGAACGTTAGCGTTAACGCGTAATCCTTATACGACGATTGTGGCATGATTGCTTCCAACTCTGTGCTCTGTGCCGGCTATCAGTTATATATGTTGTATTATCGTAATAGTGTACTCTCCATTCCACTCGCTTCTCTGTCATTACATATTTTAGCCACACGCCCGTTTCAGGCATGCAGCGCGGACAACAGATCAGATGCCGTTTTTTTTGTACATGATTCTTCGAAAGTAATAGATTCGTGTACATGGCACCAAGCGACATCTTTGAACATGACTCTAATAATCTTAAAGCATACAAAAATAAATTATAATAATATGATTGTGTGTCTCTCTGTGAGCTTACGCATGTACAGTGAATACTATGTTATGATACACATACACACGCATATACACATGCACGTAGGCATATATTCGTGTGTGTGTGTGCGGAGATAGAGATATAGAGATATATAAATATATATATTTTAAAGTACAATACCCCTTAATAATTATTCGTGATTTTGCGGAGTACAATTCAAATGCTCGTTTCTCTTTCTTTTACAATGCATCTTAATGGAACACCTAGGCGAATTGCATGTCATGCAATGTTGACGAAAAATTTTCAGCTACAAAAACTATACATTAGTATATCAAATGTGGGGTAATGTTCATACGAAAAAAAATTTATTACGCAAATAATACGTAGTAATACGAAAAATTGCAGAGTATATCGGGATTTGTACTGAAAGTGCGTACACGAATTGCGCCTTCCCTAAGTGTTCCTACGCTAATAAACCCACCATGGCGTCTGCTGGTGTTTGCTTTGGCTGCAGCAAATTACCTGCGATATAAACGAATCGTTAGTTGGGAGATTTTCTTGCAAATTTATGTCGCTGATAGATTAACATTGTTTTACTTACCTACATAGTTTACAGAGTTAAGTAAAGAATTACAGGCTTGTGAAGGCACAAGATAAAACGACTAGGATCAACGCTAGAAGAATTCCGGAAGATCGAAGAGCAGCCGAGTTTCCTTCTGTAAATATGCGGAAAATTAAGAATTAGCGACTAAAGAAATCTTTGACAGATATTCCACTTGATAAAAGAATTATTGCATTCGTACCTTTTGTCACTGCCTTTCCGTACATTTCAGGCGGGTAATCTGAAAAAAAATTTGAAAAAAGAAGGCTTTAATACTTTTTTTTGTACCATTTATATTAATTTAATTATCTCTATTGTTTATAATTATAATTGATAATTATTTTGGGGTTATTCAACCATGAATCTAAAAAAAAATTGATTAAATCTGTTTATCTTAAATGATGATTTTCCTGATTCAAGATAAAGATTTCATATGGATATAAAGATGTAATACACGTACCACCAGTAAACATATGTGGCTCCGACGCCGTAGACCATCCGAAATCGTTTTTAGCCGTAAGAATTGCTTCGTAGGATCCGGGCTGAAGTTCTTCAATCGGATGCTCCACAGTAAATTCATTTTCTTTATCGTTTTCTTTGACTTTGGGGTGGACAATGTTCCACTTTTCATCACCCTTACGACGGTATTGTAGCTGCAAGGAAAAAGATTGTATCTCGCACCCAACATTGAATTTCGAGAAGTTTATATTTTCAGTGTATCTTAAACAAACGTTACTCACTATGGAATCGCTGATCGGCGAGTAACTCTCCAGGTGCCATTTCAGAATTATTTTCGCATCATCATTAGACATTTCGGCGCCAGCTATTTTCGCTTGCGATGGCGTACCTGAAATGCATTTTGCGAATGAAAATCTTGGTGATATTTTTCAGTTTTTTAGTGATTTACGAAGATATTCGTGTAATAACGTAACTATAAATTAAATAAAACCATTTAGACAATCACGATATGTCAATTTCATAGAAACTTCAATATTTTTGCACAATTTTTGGATATAATGTGACAGCAATTACCTGTTAAGGTGATATATTTAGTCTCGTTACCCAGGAAGTTCTCCGCAACACATCTGTACTCGCCGAAATCCTTTACCGAAGTGTGCAAGATTTTCAAGACGTGTTTGGTCTTATTATTCTTCATCGATCCGTGGTGTATCACTATCGATCCCTTTTTGTGTATGATCTCCTTATCATCCTTAAACCACTTCATTATAGCTGGCGGATTGGCGCTTACGATGCACGTCATCTCCGACTCGATGCCGGTGCCGCTGTGAATCATGTTTCGCTTCACTTCTAATTCCGGAGGGTCTGTCACAAAGCAGAGCGCGTTAATCAACACACTACATAAATATAGATAATTTGAAGAATTGACATTTGTCGAACAAGCCACGATTAGACGAGAGTAAACAATTAACTCACATAGCACGCTGACGGTGATCGCTTCCATCGGTGGATTTTTCGAGCCATCCTCAGCGAGGCACTGATACAAGCCGCTGTGGGATTTGTTAGCCTTCTTTATCACAATGTAATTGTCCTCCACGATCACGTTAGGATCGTAATCATCCACCTTCATGTTCTACAAAAAGAGAAATAGCAAAATTATCTTTTTTCTTTCAATCTTTTTAATCCGTTTGTCAGCGATATTTTTTAATATTCATGATGTAGTATTATACTATCTTTATAATAATAATCCGGTAATAGTATGATGATAGGCGATGATGTATTAACGACATTATCACGTTGACTGCCATGCTAATCGTGAGTGATACGCGCATTGCGCTGAAGACCGCCCCCGTATAATAATTTTATCTATTCAATTACGGAAGAATACTAAAAAGTGTTTATAACAATATAGAATTAATAAATTTTATGACGCGAAACGCGCGACCTCGTAGAACTGTCGGCGAATAACAAGCATGCACGGAAAAAAAAGTAGTGTCAAATCAAAGCTTATATACTCAAATTAACGCGTTCATTGTTTCGTATATACGCAACAATTTATAATCTTCCGATAAGAATTTAATAATCTTAAATTTTAACAATACTATAGTCTTATATTTCCATTTTATGACGATCACTTGAAGAATACAATATTTAATTTTGCTCTAAGAAAATTATAATCTTTTATTTGAAAAATATGTTATTTTCTATCCAACATTTTTTCTTTTCCATTCAAGAAAATTATTCTTAAATAATAAGAATATTTTTTCTTGGTTGAACTATATAAAATGACTTCATTCAAGCCAGTTTTCTTCGTTTAAAGCAATATAATCTCATTTCAAGATTTTCAAGATGTTAGAAATAAAGATATTTTTAGAATAAGAATATCTTTTTTTTCCGTGTGGCAAATCAGCGTGTTTTAATGTTCTCTTGTGCGATTTTACCTCAATGAACCATTTGATTTCAAGTTGAGGATGAATGTCCGTCTCGCAGCCTAGCCTGACGCTGTCACCTTGTTTCACTTTGATCCGGCTCTCGGGTACTACACGTATGATTCCGTGTGGTTTCTTGTCGACGGGATCGACCAGTACACGGTGAATTACATCGACGGTATCGGAGTTTCCCAGCCGGATGCTGCACTTGTAATTGTTGGACGAATCGTTGACCGTTGCGTTGTAAATCGCCAGACTATTATTCGGCAGTCGCACGACCCTCTTGTGGTCGGATATTTGCGGCTGTGATTCGACGTACAAGTACTCATTGTCCCTCGACCAGATGATCGCGTAGTCCTCTAAGATATAATAATGATAATTATGTTTTAGAAAAAGTGATAATCTTCTCAATTTGCGCCGCCAGAATCAATTTTGTCGACACCGCCGACATTTACGCGGAAACGTTTATTCAATAAATTAGATATTTTCTCAAATTGCTTTACTATCTTTTACAAAATATTTTCCTCTTGTCACAACAGAAGTTTCACAATGAACTACTCAACAATTTTATTTTTTCAATAAATTTGTAATAATTTTAATCATAATCTCAATAATCTGTCTTGTTCGTGTGTTGAATGACGAATGAAAGAAACTACTGTTATTCCACAAACCTGAATGAACCACCTGGCAGGGGAGTATAATAGTATTTCCGGCGAATACACGAAAACTCTGTGAATGTGATAAGATTTGCGGCGATGCATCAGGCGCGGCGTCTTCGTACTCCTCTTCCTTCGGATCCTTTTCGAAAGGTGTATCGTCCTCGTAATTCAAATCTTCAGTACTCTTCGTGGGTTTGGCCTGCACGTGGAACGAGCCTGGAACAGAACAAAGTATGGAACAGCTTAGACTATTTTCTTAGAGAAAATAAGTAAATTAATAAATATCTTCTAATTAATCTGGCAAAAACAAGATAACGATTCTTCGTGAAACGCACGGATTTTTATTTCAAACATAATGGTATGCATATATGTCGTGCACGACGATAATTTATAAAAAACATATGTGTAATTATAAGTCGGCTTGTCGCGCAGTGATCGCGCTCAGTATTCTCTGAATCTCTAAAGCATTCGGATCTCTTTACAAGCGACTCAATTTTGCGAAGGCTCAGGACATACATTATAGTCCCAAGGCGTTGCCCAGCGACTCAGGATTTAAAGGTCCCTAAACGTTGTCGCATCTCGTAAAATCGACGAGATCAATAATTATAAAGTTTGTTTGAGTTCAAAACTGTTGGTAAATAAACGATTAATTTGTGTTGATCTGTAATAAACATTATCATTACCACGAAAGGGTAATTAATATTTGAATACGCGAAAACGCAATTCGGATATTAAGGTTATCCGTAGTTAAAAACACATAATTTTAATAAAATAAAATTTTAGAGTACGCGCAATCCGTATTTCCATATAATACTAAATACAGACAAATAAAGGTATAATTTTTTAATAAATTATCCGGGTCGTATGAGTCGTTAATTTTAACGTAGCAAGTTCGAAATGAGTTCTGCATTGATCGAAAAGTGATGGAATTTAACAAGCCTCTGAGCGCGGTTACTTCATTACAACCGTGACTGTTTGCTTTGCGATAATTCCGATAAAACCAATAAAGCGCCTATCCTCCATGAAATTATGTCCATAATGACGATAGGAATGTTCTGGGTCGCTCGGTACACATTTGCACAAGCTCGGCGGCCGGCGGTATCAATTGGGTCGACGCGTAACGCAATCAATCGCGTTTTCCCGAAGCGATAGTTTAATCGCGCCGGTCAAAACCATCCGGTTAATTCGCCGGACCGATTGCAGCTAGCTGCCGAGCCGGCAGTCAGGGCTTTCGCCGAAACCGCAAACCCGATCGCCCGCATAGTGCCGTTTGTGAGCGAGCGGCGAGGCGCGGACCGGGCTGCGACTGTTGAAATTAGATTTCTAGTGCACGACCGTGCTCGATTTCGGGACAGAAACGCGCAACGCCGGCTCTCTAATAATATACGCGACCTCATACCACTCTTTTTCAACAATGGGATACGGTTTCCCATCGTCGTCTGGCAACGCCAGAAGGAGAGCGAAATTCACCGGCTCCGCCGAAGAGCCCTGCGTGTCGGCTACCAGTTTGCCTCGCTTTCACGAGGCACGTCTTCGCGCTCAGGCGTTTATACACGCCGTTCGATTTTAGCCGACGTAAACCACACCCTGCGTTCAGGAAAAATGGGTCGTGCGAGTCAACCTGATGATTAGCGAGCTACAAGTCGAACGGCAAAAAGCATCCGGCAATCTCGCGAATTAAGATCACTAAATCATCATTTACCGTGATTGAAGCGAGTCGAATCGAGCGCCCGCTGCAATTTCGTCAATTATTGATTGATAATTCCTAAGCGCTTGTTGCATGATTGCAGTTTTATCAATTACTAAGCGCTGTAGAAAAGAAACTTAGACGGCGAAGAAAGTAAAAAAGCAACTTAGAATTTCATCAAATTTTATTCAATTTAAAAATTCATTCAAGGAAAGTTTATCAAATATAAAAAAAATAGATGTTTATATTTTCTTCGGTTTAAAGAAATAGATAAAGCTGTGAAAAATAGAGTTAACGCGTTTAAAAAAATATTACAAGACAAAAAATAATTTTGAAAATGATAAAAACAAAACTAAGAGAAAGATAATCATTTAATGGAACAAAACGATGGCCACGGTATTTAGTAATGATGTTCGAATGCTCTTCGGAATGAGGTAAAGCGATTGAGGGAAAGAACCCCATGAATCTAGATTAATGGCCGCCCACTACAACATCGGCATCCCTGCGCTCTGGTTAGGCTGCAGCCCCTATTTCTACGGCTACTCCCGGACTCCCTTAGCAACGACCCAGTCTGCACGCGCGTACAGGCGCCACCGTGTCCCATTGTTCGCTCTATGTAAGCACTCGCGCGCTCTTTTAGTCGAGCCAATGTCGTGGAACGTT